TATTGTCTGAAAGTTCATGCACGAAAAGAGCTCATGTTCGAATAAGCAGTCAATTTCTTTTGGCTGGAGAGAAAATTGGATAGTTCAATTGGTAGAATATCCGACCGGTTATCGGAAGGTACAGGTTCGATTCATGTTTTGGTTTTATGATCTTTCTTGATAAGTTGTTCGTGCTTATTAACACATATTCATGTGGATACATTCGCTCTGCTTTGTATGGATTGTCCGTAGACAAGTGAAACGATGACTAATGTTGGATCTCTTCTAATATTTATATCTAACTCACCCTCACCCTCACTTTTCTTACAAGGACAAGTATTATCTACAGATTCGAGGTGGAGCGATGGGATCGGCGTTCAACATAACCCTAGCGAACATTGACATGTGGGAATGGGAGCAGTCCTTCGTCGAACACCAACATGCTTGCGGTGAACTCTACGGCTGGTCAGTACCACTCTTTCTTTTTGGATAAGATTCTCTATTTCTTCTTTTTTCGGATAGATATATCGATGATGGTTTCAAGGAGCTCATGTCGTTACTTATTTGAAAGACATGTGAGCTGGGGACAGAGAGGAAAACGATTCTCTCTTTCTTTGTTCAGCTCATTTAAGCTTCGAAGTTCATACTTATTTCCAATTCTTTTTCTCATTTCTACTTATCATAGATATCTGCACCATATCATATCGTATGAATGGTGAGTCAAAAGTCTCTCAGAAGAATAAGATGTACATTTGAATTTCAGCGAAGTGCACAATAAAGTTTTGTCTATGTTTTGTGTCTATGATACGTTATCCATCACAGAAAGCAAGGTATAGTGCATTGCGATTTCAGGCTCTCTATGGTAACTCTGAACAACATCTGACTTGCCCTATAAGAATAAAATTTCTAAATAAAGTTTAACGGAAGATTTCACATATTCGAGGAGGAAGAGGGTACACAGTATACATAATTAATATAATCAACCTGTTTTTATCGATAATTGTCGTTTCTTAGTCGTAATAATCCTTTATAATAGAAAAACTGACATTTTAAAAAACGAACTATGTAGAAGTTGCAAACATTTTTGGGATCAGTACATTTGTTTTTTCTCCGTATTCATTCAACATCGATGCGCGCGCTGACATGCATTCGCATCGATGCTTCGGCCCTGATGATGATGCTATTTTCAGTAATCTTACGATGAATTTACAAATCGTTTCAGTAAAAAAGGTTCCTTACTATACCAAACGATAGACAATTTAATTCTCTACAAGATTGTATATTCATTTTTAAGATTCATCTTTGATGTTTGTCACAGTAAGTCTAACAATAAAAACTCCAAATTTTTAACTGCATCACGCAGTTTTAAAGTGCAAACTGCTCTCTTGTTTTAACTGCTTATAACGAGTACAAAAAGATTTGAAATAATTTTATTACTGTCAAATGGTGAAAAATTTCATGCTTTGAAAAAGCGTTTACTTGAAAGAAATTTATTTCAATTGCCAGTGGCTTGAGAGTTGTCTACTCTCGTAACCAAATGATATTGAAGTCCCAGAAATCCACGAAATCCTCATCCGCACTTCCAACATACCGACTGATAGGGACCAGACAATATTGCACCATACTCCGCCATGCTTATACATTCTGAAAATGTAGTTAACATCTACAGTAACTATCGTAAGAAATATTGGGCTGCGTCTCACTCTCATCAACCACCAAAAACGAGGGAATACTGGTTGTCGCTAAGATGGTCGAAAAATAGGAGAAAATGACCACCTTTCTTAAAGACTCTTTTTCGCTCTGATCTCATCTAAAAAATGATTGTCTGTCATTAAAAAGAACATCATATTGTAGAAAATTTCTTGCTGAATTTTTCGGTATACCTTGTTTTGTTGAATAAGTGATTTTTAGCGAGATTTTACGCAAAAAATCGATTTTTTTGAAGATGCAGTTAAGAAGTTTGGAGCTTTTCCTGTTAGACTTACTGCGCCAAACATCAAAGATGAATCTTAATTATGAATATACAATCTTGTAGAGAATTAAACTGTCTGTCGTTTGGTATAATAAGAAATTTTTTTTTCTGAAACGATTTGTAAATTCATTGTTCTAGAAATCATTTCAAAACTTGTGGCACACCCTTTGATGTATACTCTATAATGATAAATGGCTGTCTTAAATTTTTTTCAAACTTTTTCACTTCAGATTTTCCATCAAGTGAAAGAAGCACCGGCACTAATGTCCCACTGTTTTACACCCATACTTGTCATAGCTATGCCGCACCAGCGAAAAAACAAGTACGATATTAGTGAAAATCAATTCTACACTGCTTCGTGACATCAGAAAATGACAGAAATTCTAAGGTACCATACAAATTAAGTTAGTGACTGTATCTAAAAATGTAACATATTCTAATTGAATAGGGACGGACAACCTTTGATAATTTTTAGCCGACAGTCTTAATCATAAATCTGTGAATGTTTCTTTTAAATTTATTGCAAAATGAGCCATGAGGCTGTTATTAGCGTTGCATAGTTTTATTAAATAAAAGAAAAACAAAAAAAAACAGATCCATTTACACAATTTTTTGTTCAAGTTAGAAGTCACAAATCTATTCCTGTGTACTTCATCTTAACACTAACAACCAGACAGCCATGAATACACATGAAATGGACACAAACAGAGATAAACGTGTACCAATAATTGATGCTAAAATAACAGATTGGTGAATAAAATAATAACAAAGATGTTATCTATCCCAAAATACCTTTATAGAATATGCCGGCAAATCCTTTCTTTTCTGATAAAAACCATTGACGAAGTTTAGGAACTTGTCTCATATAAGCACATGTACAAATGATTAATAATGAAAATACAATGATACCATCAAATGAGTATGCTATATGAATTAAGCAAGAAAAAGATAAATGGCTAGATAAATGTCCGTATACGTCATATAAAACCCTTACCGTTCACCATAGTCTCCTGGTAACCGAATAAATAACCCTATTATCTAAAAAGAACAGAAAATAGAATGTTTAAATTATTTCATGTACACAGAGATCAGAACAATTAATGTGCTATGAGAGTAAAAAGCATGAAATACTGTTTGTCTCTTAACACCGCAATATAGTTTGTAGACGACGGGGCCAAAGCATCCAGGGATTTTAGAAATATGACAGTTTTAAAAATATATTAGATGAGTCAAAATCTGATTGTCTTATTTGGAAGAGATGTACGAAGATCACATAAATTTCATATTATTTTAAAAAACTGAAAACTATTTTTGATCTCCATAGCCTTCTAAACCAGAGGTGCAGAAAAGTAGAAAGTTTGTTCCAAGATCTATTTAGCTGTGAAGTATATAAAGTATAATAATGGGTAATTAAATATACCTTTTAGGTTTTTACTCTCTTTACTTCTTGAGAGCTATCGTGTTTCATACAGAAAAGACTGATGAGGGAACGTTTTTAAGTATTCCCTCGCTTTTTCAACGAAACCTAGTGGGTTATAGGTTATCGATGGTGCTGATTCCGAATATGAATATGACAGCTGCTCTTAGGGTTTCGAAGATCCGATTTTCTGGAAAATCAGTTTTTCAGAAACTTTGAAATGAGCCAAACCAAAACGTTTCTTAATGAGTCATGCTTGTAGCCCGCACATTTCTGATTAAAATGAGACATCTCCCAACTCTGCATGATCTTTCTTTGCAAAGTTATAGAATTTACAAGAAAAGCCCTAAATATTCATTGTCAACTCAAAGCTACAGAAATAAGAAATTAATTTAGGGCTTTTCTTGTAAATTCTATAACTTTGCAAAGAACGGTCATGCAGAGCTGGGAGATATCTCATTTGAATCAGAAATATGCGGGCTACTAGCATGGCTCATTTAGAAAAGTTTGGGTTTGGCTCATTTCAGAGTTTCTGAAAAACTGGTTTTCCAGAAAACCGGATCTTCGAAGCCCTAAGACCAGCTGTCATATACATATTCGGAATCAACACCATCAATAACCTATAACCCACTAGGTTTCGTTGAAAAAGCGAAGGGGTACTTAAAAACGTTCCCTTGTGAGAGTGAAGATGAGCGAATAAAACAGTAAGGAAAGTAGAGCTTGGCAAGTCCGAGGGGATACCTAGTCCAAACTATGAAGCAAGAAAAGCAGATCCAAGTCTGAGTCTTTGATACACGATTGTGAGTCCGAATCTCGAGTTCATTTCGAGTCTGACCATTTTTTCAAACATTTTTGCGTGCCGTTATTTATATTTCTTTTCTCCTATGCCGTACAACACATCAATCTTATTATAGCAGAAAAAGTTGTATAAGTAAACTTCTGTTGCATATCCCATACTGATCTTGAAAAACTAAAAAATTTCCTGTTTATTTATGTAAGAACTTGAATCGATCGGACTTGAAACACAAAAACTCAATTTCGAGTTCAAGTCCGCCGAAAAATTTCTGAACAATCTCCGAGTCCTCTTCTAAACTGTTTCACTGCCTCTGACTTAATTCACCTTTAGTAAAAAATTTCGTGTTTGCTAGGGATGTTACGAGTCTATTTCAGTTGCTTTTTCAGGTATAGTCATGAATCTCTCTTCGAGCTGATAGAAATGCAAAATATATGATTCTCTATAAAATAAGGTGTTAGCGAGCTTGGTGTACTCATTCAAAAAACACTTATCCATATTTTTTCCTTATTTCCACACACAAAAAACTAATCAATGTATCATCGAGTTAATTACACAGTATGTATACTATGAACGATAAATTTCGTTTTGTGCAAATCTAAATTTATATGTTCAAGTTCGTAGACACATAAAACTGATTTTTGTCTTTTTCAATATTTATAAGTTTTTTAAAAATACTAGAATAAGATTTACGTTCACTTGTATTCTGAAAAATTAAAGCTTTTTATATATAATATCGAAGATTATTTATAATAAAATGTGCACTATTTATTGCAATGATAAAAGTTTTTTTTTTTAAAAATGATCATTTTAAAAGAAAAAAAACGAATAAAATTTTATCACGATTTATTTCCCCTCAACAAAATATTTTGTACACAATCCATCAATGTTCCAAATGTAATTAATGTTGAATGTGTCTGTTTAATTGTTTTTAAATAATATTGTCCACCTTCGATTAGATGTTGACCATGAATCATTTGTTCTAATATTTCTAATTTATCTTTCTCTGAACAATTGTATTTTAATAGATAATCTAAAATATTTGGATATACTTGAATTAGCATAGATAAACGTTTATATTCGAGTGATAATTGAAAATATTTATTATCAAATATCTCATTTGACTAAAACAAAGAAAAAACAAAAATTGATTTTTTATATCATTCTAAAAAGTATCTACATACATGTAATTGAGTATTATTAATAAATAAATCTTGTACAACAGTATCAATCGGATATATTAACCATAATTTATATGCATACGATACTAACATATTTGAATGGAGTAAATAATTGATAAGTGAAACACATTCCTACAAATAAAACATACTAACATATGACAAGAAAACCTTAGTAAAAATTATATTTCTCTATTACGAAAAAAAAATCTTTTTTCAAATAAAAACGTGAGTTTTTTGGAATCGACATTTTTTCTAAGCTTTTTAAATATGTTTTTTTTTTTAGAAATTTTACAGGATATTTTGTTTCGACGATACAGATGCTTTTCTGACATGCTTAAAAATATCACTTGTACAAACAAAAAAAACTCTTTTTTAAAACATTTGATACAACTACAGTAGATTGGCTGTAAATAATTTTTATTGGAATACAGAATTGTAAAGCAGAAATTTCTCTACAAAATGACATTATGTACGATGTTGTACAACTTTTCGGAAAGAAATCATACATCTATAAAAAAAAATTGAATTTTTTTTTTCAAAATTGCGTTATAGATAATTTCGCGTTTTATATGGTACGGGGGGGCTTCGTACAGAATACTTACAGCATCCTTTTCCCAAATCAAATTTAAAAAGCTTAGAAAATGTCGCTTTCAAAACTAATTATTGACGAAATAAACGACTTATGAATGAGAACTTGCGTACCTGCTCATTTAATTCAATTGTTTTATCATTAAAATATTCCCATACATCGTTACTTAATTCATTGATCATTTTTAAAACTAATTCACATTTTAATGTGAGAACAGTTGGTCTAAAAGTGAGAGAATCATCATATGATCCAAAGAACTCCGGATGAAAGGCGATATTAAGGCATGAAACGGTTACATTTGGATTCTTCGTGCTTATGAAGTTATGGTTAACTCTGGAGAGATTTAAACGAAAAGCAATTACAGGTGGCGCCATCAATTCTTACTTTTCTCTTGAATCTCTTCGTAATCAGATAGGGATTCTGAATTTAACAGTTACATATCTTAATATCACCATTCTCCCGAAGCTCTTCCATTCATATATTTTATTTTCATCTGTTTTTTTTTTATGAAAAAAAAAGAAAGAAAAGTAAAAATATCTCAATTACCCTTTCATTTGACTTGCATTAGACCAAAGTCGAAGTAATTCACATAATGAATCAAAATGTAAACGAGTTTTTGCTTGTGATAAATATTTTAAAAATAAATCACAACGTAATTCATCTGTTTGAATATCTTCTTTTTTTAACTAAATAAACACATTCTACACAAATAGAGATAAAATAGATTAAAATTGTTTATCATGTTACTTGTGTAAAAGTATCAAAACATGTCAATAATGATGATACACGATATTGTTCTAATAGGAGTAAATCATCTAAACGTAATATACCATTATCAAATAACTAAATAACAACAATATTATCGTATAAAAATATAGAAATAATTATTTATCAATATTTATTACTTTTTCTAATTTTTCTAATAATTTAAATCGAATCATTTTATCAATACTTTCATCTTTCCATATTTGTCTTAAACATGTTACTAATTCATCTTCAGATATTATCTCTTCACCTCTATAACAAACAATATCGATTCATAACTAATATAAAAATAAAAGAAAAAAAAACAACATACTTATAATGACCAACATTTTCTAATAATATATCCATTTTTTGTAATGCATGATCATCACCACTTCTAAACAAATAGACAATAAAAAATATTATTTATTATAGATTATTATTATTATTATACTTGAGTGTTTGACAAGCCATATCAATTGTTTTTCGAAATATTTGTTTCATTGTTAAATTTGGAAAAAATATTTCAATAACATTTTCAATAAAACCAAATCCTATTTTTCCATTTAACATAATTTCAGCCATAATATCTGTATTATTACCTTGATGATTTAATTTACATAATTCAATTGATTTTATATATGAAGAATATTTTCGATCATATAATTTATAAAATGGTAAAATTTTTTGAAATAATTCTTTAATTTCTTCATGTTTTATATAACATTCATCTTCTTGTTTATTATTTATCTTTAAATAATCTGATGATTGTTCAACTATTTCTAAACGTTGATTAATTGATAATTTATTTACTGCTTTTTCACTACATGTAAATGATAAAATCATATTCAAATAATCATTTGAAGAATTAATATGATCTAAATATGGTATAATTAAACGAAATTCATTTGTTGATGATGACCAAAAATATTTTTGTAACCATTTTGAGTAGACATACGATGATGTTAATATTAAATCACTACTAATTTTTAAATTATCTAATATTTGTGATAATTGATCAAAATTTGACTCATCAACATATTCAAATAAAAAATCATCACACGATTCTAATAAATATTTGTAATCAAAGCCTAGAAAAAGAAAAATTTTAATTTGTTACTGGGTTTGATACTTTTCTATTTTCTTCTTTTTTTTTCTACACGATGGCGTACAACTGCTAGAACTATGAACTTTTTTATGTATTTCTTATATTTTCGAATTAGTCAGTTATTGAAAAAACTAGTCTTTGGAGCATGAGATTTTTTTTTCTCTGTGGTTTAATTCTCATCATCGATCATGAATACTCATTGTTTTCGATCAAATTTTGATTCCCTTGTATCAACGATCTGTCGTCATTCACTAGAACCAGTGATTATATTTTCAAACATGTCCCGTTTTTGTCTCATGTAAAATTGTTTCTGTTCGGATTAGCAATCGACATCGAGTTTTTATGTTATTTTTTTTCTCTTTTTTTCTCATAAACAAGCACTTTTCCATAGAACAGGCGGACATCTGGTTTTTTGAGTTAAAAAATGATTATTTTCGAATAATATGGTCTTATTATGCGTCAAATATTAATAAAAGAAAAAAAAATCAAATTCGAAAAAAATGTTTTCGATAAAATATCCTTTCCCAGAATTTTTGTCAAAAACTTTTTTATTTGTAAAATTAACAAATTATACATCATTCGATGTAGTTTTTCATGCTAATTCCAAATATCACATTAATTTTCAATAAAAGTGTTTTTCGGCTGAGAAAAATGTAACATACCTGGAAAACAAACGATTTTCTAGAAAACCTAGATCTCGGTCTAGCCAAAAAACTGCATAAAACCACTATCACCACAGATTCAGGCTATGTCGATGCACATTTTGTGAAATTTTCAACGAATTTGGAGCTTCGGAAAATTTCGGAAACTCATTACAGTGAACATAGCTCTCTGAAAATCGCCCTGTTCGGGAAAAAACTCTTTTTCACTAAAAGACCTAATCTGAGACGAACGTTTTTTTTACCAACAGATAACTACAAGTGTCCTGATTCCAAATAACACGTTTGGAAAATTTAAATATAATTCAGTTCAAGAAAAAATTGATTTTACATAGAGGTCACGGATATACGAGGTAGTTTTTCTTCAACATTTTTTACCCGCAAATTATTGGTTCAAAACAAAAACTTTTACGCCATTAGATAGTCCATCTATCAAGGTATATTTGCCACCGTTTTAGTTTTAAAAAACCGCACGTTCGATTTTTCGCTAAATGTCCGTCTGGATGCCCGCTGTGCAAACAAACAAAAAACTAAAACTGTGACATCATAAAAGAATGACATCTCAAATTTTTGAATGTAAAGTGGCATCTGAGAACCGCAAGAATTCCACGAGTTTCATCTTTTGAATCGAGTACGCACTAGAAAATGAAGTTGTTGTTATTGTTGTTTTTTTTGGTATCTTACCATCATTTAATTCTCTTCGTAATTGTTGTATAACATCTAAATGTTTTTGTGCAGTTGTCATTCCAAAATATTTATTAATATCATAAAATATTTTTAATCGATCATAATCTTGTCCACTTATTAATGGATAAACATTTTTATATAAACGTTTAACTGTTTCTAACTTGGAATGTTTTTTTAATTCAGGTAAAACAAGTTTAACTTTTTTACGTATTTCACTTAATGGTAATTTTGATTCTATTAACAAATATTCAACATAATTCATATAGCATTCAGCTAATGATAAAGAATATTTTTGTGCTAATAATTCACCAACTTTTATATCTTTATCGGTCATAAATAGACCATAAATGGTTGATTGACGATAATTAATGTCAGATGAAAAACGAGTAAAATCAATACCTAAAATATAAAATATGTTAATTTAGACTATTGTCTTGTACTTTTCTTTTTACCAACCATTTTCAATATTATTAATTGTCTGTTCTTCTCGTAATTTCTCTAATTGTTGACTAATACGAGTATATTGTTCATTTTTAGTATTTTTAGAAATATATTCAGCTAATTTTGTTGGTGTTTCATATAATATTCGATTAATATCATTGATATTTGAAACAGTTTTCAATGATATATCCAATGATAAACAATATAAAGCTAATTGTAATGAATAATCATTATCCAATTTAAATGGAAAACGATTTTTCTATAAAAAGTAAACAAAAAAAAAATAAATGAAATATATTTATTTTTTATAAATTCAATTTTTTACTTTATCATTGATATTTAACCATGTTAAAACACTTAATGGTGTATCATTATTAACATAATTTTGTGCTTCGATTAACAATCGATTATCTAAACAGGTAATTCTTCTTTAATATTAAGATCTAAATATATTGAAAATATGTTACCTGTTGCCGTTTTTAATGAACTCATAATTGGTAAATGTTTAAATGTATCCTGAATAAAAGGAAAAAAGAAGAGAAGAATTTATTATTAAGAAAGATTTTTTTATATTTTTATTACGTGTTGTGAATAATTTTGATCATAAAATGGATCAGTACAATAGCAATATGTTGATGGTGCTTGATCCTAATAAATATATGTATACATAGTCAGATATTCATATCTTTATTTAATTTAACTATTTTTAGATTTTTACACTTTTCTTCTAGAAACAAACATTGACGAGAGACTCACAATGATCGATAGTCTGTGTATTCATTTTTCAGATTGTCAGACGAAAAAAAGTATCGATCGAAGAACTCTCAGAATCTCTCAGAACGTTTTGGTAATATTGATAGATGAAGATCTCGAACGTGTGTAGAGTGAGTGATAGAAGACGATCTGATTGGTCTAATTTACATGCAAAAATCAAAATTTATTATTTCCTCATAATGCAGTAATCTACTCCTCTTTCAAACACGAGTCAAGTACAGTTTTTGCTTCTCTTTTTTTATACAATTTATACTCTCAAGTGTAAATTATCGAATAGCGAAAACTGTGGATATATTTATTATCTATCTCTGGTCAAACGTTGATGAAACAAAACGTTGAGTATCTCGTATTTTTGAAATGATTAGTAATAAGAGGATCATATTGCAAACTTACCGAAATATGACTATCACTGACAGTTACTGAACGTCCTTGACTTGCTTCATCTAAAACTCGTCCAAGTTCTTGAGTATCACAGTGTAAAGCAACAAAGGAAAGCATTGTCTGTCTATAAAAAATAAATTTAAAACATTAGAAATAAGAGAGTATTAGTAATACAATCGACACATACTTTGTCTGATTATCATTCCATTGTTGTTGTTGATTTAATTTAATTAATTCCCAGCAACATTTCCATGCATTCGTATAATTTGATTGAATTAAATATAAACAGGCTTCTGTACAAAATGTTAAATCCATTTTCTAAATAGAATAATTTAATAAATCTTCTTCAATTAATTTTTTACTATTATTTATTTACTTTTAAACTAAATTCGGCTAATATCATCATAGCTTTAACTTTAGCCAATTGTTTATTTTCTTTACCACATATATTCAAATATGATGCCAATGATACAAACTAAAATGAATAATCACGTATTTAATTAAAAATTCTTAATTTTCTCTAATAAAAAAAAATCTTTCTACTTTTGATGTATTTTGATAAGCTGTTGGATTATGATCCAAAATTGAACGTAAAAGATCAGTGGGATTTTTTTGTCGACGAACTGTAACGAAAAAAATATAAAATTATAAAAGAAATATATAAATATATTCGGATGATGATTTTACTTTCAACAGGTGTCAATGGATATTGATAATAATCAATTAATTTTTGTGCTTCAATTAAGTCACGTTCATATGTTATTAATGGATGTGATTCATCGATTAAATCTAGACAATCTCTAAACAAACTCTGATCTTTCAGTACAACAATAAATTTAAAATGTAACATTACTTTGCAAATGTAAGAGAAAAATCATTTGAATTTTTAGCTGAATCAATATAATCTTGTGCACATTTAACAACTAAATGTACAGCATGTTCAAATTCATCAGGTGATGATGCCATTGATTGAATTAATGGACGAACAGATGTAAGACACGAATGACTATCAGATGTTAACATATTTTCAATAAATAACTGAAAAAGTGAACAATAAATTAATTATACTCTTCTAATGATCTATTTTTGAATGAACAAAATAATTCATACATCATATAATTTTTGTTGTGTTAGACAATTTGAATATATTCGAGATTGTAATATTTGTAAATCATGTAATAATTCATTCGCATAGGATAATTTCATTTTTGGTGTTCTATAAAAAGAAAAAAATGAAAATCAAATTTATTGTTTGAATAACATAACAGATTAAAATATATACTTTCTCATGGCTGAACGTATTAATTTAACAATTGTATTCACAACAGATTCTTCATATTCCTAAAATGATTAAGAGGCGACAATAAATGGAGAATTTCTAAATAAATAAACTATTACGTACAGCACTTTTTAATAAATATTTTGGTGACATTTCAATACCATATTTTCGAAATAAATCACAAGCACTAAAAACAAAAGATTCGTTAGTACATATAAAACGATAAATTTCGTATTTTATAATTAATCAATTGTACTCTAATATTTGTTTTATATGATCTTTGTTTGATAAAAATCCCATTAATTCTTGACAAAAGTCCTTATTGAATATTTCAGTATTTAAAATTAAATCTTGAATAAGTTCATCAAATTGATTTCGTTGTAAATAACTGGAATTCTAGAAGAAAAAACAAATGAATTTTTGATATTTACGCGTGTGTATTGAACGAAAAGGCGAAATGTTTTTCATACTTTTAACGATGTAATTATAGGTATAACAATACTCGGAGATTTTTCATGTTCAATTTCCTCTGCAAGTATTTCACCAATTGATACTTTCAGTAATGATAATGGAGTATTTAGATGATGACGATCACATAAACGTAAGAATGGAATTAATCCACGTTCTATGCGATGATCAATCATAATTCGATCATTCACATCCTGAAACAAAAGTAGAGTAGTCCTTTTCAGTAACATAAGTAGAGAATAGATATCATATTAATATGAAAAGTGTTCCCTGAAACATGACTGATTATGCTTAGTTTTTGGTTCTGATTATGAATCTAAAATTCAATTCTAATACTAGATTTTCTTCGATAGGGCTTCGGAGACTCATGACACATTTTCAAATGAACATCACAAATTTTAAGCTTAAATGAAAGTATATAGGACATTTTTGATTTATACGTTGCGTCCTAGAAACTATTAGAGTCCTGCGGAATTGAGTTTTTTCGTCCTGACTCTGATCCCACAATGGACAATCATGTCAACATTAGAAGAAAAAATGAAAGTGAGCTTTTCGAGATTTGAATAGTATTAAACATACTTTGATTAACGACCGATTTAATGGCGGAAATTTTTTTGTTCCAACTGTTAAGTTCGCCGAAAAAACGTGTGCGCAAAAATAGGCCAAATTTCAGCAACCTCAGCGGAAAATCGCTTCTATTGTGGTATGAAGAAAGAGATGATGGACATGTGCCTTAAAAGTGATACGAAAGCCTCTAAACACTATTTTTATAGGTTTCATATGCCCTCTTCCAATGGAGTAACTTACAACCTCAGCAATGTTTTTATCAGGATTTTCCAAAGATCCGGTGTTTGGAAAACCTGACTAAAAGTGTTTTTGAACTTTGTAAATTACACCATTGGAAAGAGGGCATATGAAACCTATAAAAATAGTGTTTAGAGGCTTTTGTATCACATTTATGGCACATTTTCACGTGCCTAGTCAAAGTTGCCCCCTGTGATCCCGTCTCGAATGCTTAATTACGATTCCGTTAAATCCCGAAAATTTTATTACGCAAATTAGATGTACGCATTCTGTTTTCCATCTGGCATATTTATAGAGCGAAAATCTCGGTCCCAATCCCATAAATCTTTTTCTCACAGAATGGGGATCGGGATGATCTCACTGGACTCTAGAAACTAGACATATAATATGTTCTAGAATCTTCAGGCTCACTCTTTGATAAAAAGATATACGCTAATCCACACAATTCTTTCAGATGAGAGAAACTATGAGGCTGACGATAAGTGGAATTATATGGCTGCTGAAGAGTATAATCTTCAAAATATGAACTACATTACCATTCTAAGAATACCATTTGTTATTTCTTCATCAGTCATATTTTTTACATCATCTAACACGTAATCCCAATCACAATGATAGTTAAGCCATGATAATATTTGCAATTTTTCATGAAGAAATGATAATTCCTGAAAAAGAGAAATGAATATAAAATCGAACAGTTTTTTTCGTTATGGAAACTGCAACAAACAGCCTACGCTAAAACTGATATCCAACATACATCTAAATGTTGATGTCGAATACCATGTTCAACAACATCGATTGCATTTTGTATTAGTCCAATTTGTTCAATAAATTCAACACGTTTCGTATACCAATCAATCAGAGATAAACGTAATTTTTTATCGGTAATAGGTTCTCGTTCTGGTTCATTTGGTTGTTCGTCATAAACATCTGACCAATCAGATTGCTTTATATGTTGTGTATGTTGTTGTGTGATTGAAAAATCTTTCAACGTTGGAGATGGTAGATATTTTTCATACAACTGAATATCTGTTGTTTCAGGTATTTCGGTTAATATTTCTAATAATTGTAAGGGATTTATGTCAGGCATTTCATTTAAAACTATATCTAAACAATCGAGTTGACATTGCTAGAAAGAGAAAGAGAACTTTTCACTTCACAAGTTAAATCAATAGAAAGTTCATATTTTTATCAAATGATGAGCTAACTAATGTCACTGCCTTTCGCTCGTCTCAGTCTGTACAATAATAAAGACTTTTACTAAGACATAATTTGAGAGGTATAGTACTTACTCTTGCAAATCTTATAGCAATATCTTTCAACGATAAATCTCGAAATGTTTCATAAAATTCTTTACTATAATCATTGAATACTTTTGTGTTTGTTCTTAATCTTTCGTACAGATCTAGTTTTTGTTTATAAATTAATAATTTTCGCCGATAGATAATTAATTGTTTTTGAGTAAGTGTTAACGGTTGATTTTGTTCATCTTTGAGAGCAGTAGTGGTAATAGTAGTCTGTTGTTGTCCAATTTCATCGTTAATTGAGTGAAACCACGCTTGATCATTCTCGTGCAATGATAAAAATAATTGTTTTGATGATGCTTTTTGTAGTCCGAATTGTAAGAGTGTCCATTGCTCATCAAATGTTGAACATAACAATTGAAGACATTCATTTAATACCCATGCACGTTTACTAATTCTATATAAATAAGAATGAATCGTAGCCTCTGTAACCGTTAATGACTGTTTCCATTGCAATTGATAAATTGAATCCGTATCCAAATTGAATGTGTGACATAATCGTAATGCTTCACCATAATCTTTTTCAGAAATTAAACGATTAACAACGTCCAATGGTTCAGCCTTTTCCAGTTCATGTAATTTATACGATAGGGTTTCAAGATGATTTAAAGATGAATAATATCGAGAAAATAATGAGGAAAATAAACGTGTGACTAAACTAGTTGTTTCATCTCGACTAGTCGACAATGATGAGGACGATAATTCTGATCGATTAGTATGAACCTAGATGGGAAGTCAAAGAAGAAGCCATATATATGTATATATTTATGTATCTCAATAGAATATTATATTATAACGAATATTCATCGTACCGCTACACATTCAGGATACTTAGAGGAACAAGGACTCTAGAGGACATATAAAGCAAACAGTTTGATTACACTTACATCTATAACGAGTATTCTATGAGTTGATTCATCGTCGTCCGTCGAATACTCATCTAGTATCTGTTGCTGCTGTTGTTGTGCATATAATTGTGGATAATGATGAAATAGTGTTGATTCAAAACGTATTTCATTTAACGTTTGAGATTGATGAAAACTAATTGAACCATCAATGTAAGATAACAAAACAAACTAAAAGAAAATTGAAGCAAACGATCTACGTGTTAGAATATCACTTGATTAACCGCAAAAAAACAAAAACAAAAAAAAGATCAATTTTCCATAATTGAAACATTGAAAGCTTTCAATCACAAACCCTCAAAATTTTTCTGCTTTCTTTTGCGATTAATCAGGCATACTGTTTATGTCTTACACGATCGTTCCACCATTCACAATCATACACTTTTGGACGATTAGGGTTTAAAAACTAACAAAAAAAAGCACGAACAGTTAGTAGTAACTATCGAACATTGAATTCAACTTACTGTTTGCAAATGTTGTAAAATATCGTTCACATCTTCTTCTATTTGAAAGATGTAAATAGTTCCTAAAGAATCAATTGTCAATAGACGATTGCCATCTGGTGATAACGACATTTTCCACGTAAAACAGGAATCGTCCTTGATAGCATCATCCTATAACAAACATTGCATATTTACAAGTTAAGAAGAAAACGAAAAATCTCCCCCCCCCTCCTCTACTCAACATAGATGCACAATATTCTTACATACAGAGGATGTTTGTTTCTCTAATAGTAACCATGGTTCTTTATCACACAGTTTCCAACATTGAACATTTAATGGATTGTATGATGATGTATATAAACGATGCTTAGCATTATCAACAATACAACAGGTAATGCCTTTTGGATAATAGGAACATATTTGTTCGTCATTCGCACACGATGCAACCACATCTCTTCGAAATAAATAACGTTTATATTTGATTTTTGTTCGAAAGATAAATGTCTACCTGCTCATAACATAACGATATAATTGTCCATTTCGAGATAAACAAATAAGATCAATAAATCTATCCCAAATGAAAAGAACGCTATTTTTATGAGAAAAAAACGCTTGTAGTATAGTAACATACTGTGATACATCGCTTCCAGTAAACCATATGTTTGCAAACGAATGAGAATGATCTTCTTTAAAACTCTAAAACAGATAAAACAGTATTGCTTACATTTTTTTTTCATCCATTGTTCTATATATTCTTACCTGTAACTGATGTAATAATTGACCATCAGCTGTAAAAACACATATATTTCCAAATGAATCACCATATGCTAAATATTTGCCATTAATTGACCATGCTAAACAACATAAACATTCACAACTATCGTGGTTGTCTGGTTGCTTTTCAACTAAAAAGACAATTAGTACAGTACAAATTATCGGTTTGACATAAGACGTACGTGGTATTGAATTAAACGTTTGACTAGCATCATCTGTATAAAGATCAATTGAATTTGTTGTTAAAACTGCGATACTGTATGAACTAGAGAGAGAGAGAGAAACAAGTATATGAGCAATCACTGTTCTTTTATTCTTATGCCAAAAACATACGAATTTTGAATAGCAATTGGATAATTCAATGACAATTGTTTCAGATAAAGTATATCAGATGATGCATGTTTAACAGGGCTATATAATGAACTAAAAACTAAATTTAAATTACACGCTCTCGTCATTGCACGACTAGATGCTATTTACCTAAATGCTTTGTCTTTGACACGTTCCCTAACTGATGATGCTAAAAAATTAATATCAGATGATGTAAAAAACAGCATGTTGTCTTACTTCAACACATACCTTGTTTAATAATCCAAGAGGAATCTTGTTGTTGCTGAAGGAGAAATAATTTTAGTTACGCAGTACATGTTAACAATATGTAGATAGGCTTCAGCCATGTTTACAAGTACATCTCATCTCATCTCATCTCATCCTTATTTGACTCCTTGCAAAATTGATTAGTGAGGAAAATTTTTCAAAATAGAAACATCGATCAAATATGCAAATTAGGATAATATCAGATGTGCATGCGAACCAGAGACTAAGATGAGATATGTTTATCAATTCTTTAGACGGTTCGTCTAAAAGAGAATTTTCTCTGACTTGAAGAGTCTTCCTTGAAGATACTCTGATGTAAATGTGGTTTTTATTACTTTATTCTCGTCCCTTGCTTTTGGAATAAGACGATCAAATGACCACTCTGCTTTTTGTGGTGATTCAAAAAATAAATTCGGATGTTTATTATTATTCTTTTCTGTAGTGATTTCATTCATTTCAATCTAAAATACAATGATAAATCGTTACGTCCCTGTATTATAAGGTTTACTACGTTTCTAACGACAAAGTAAAATTTGAAAATTCCAAATATGCTTTGTTGTACACATGTGAAAAAAACAGACAAAAACAGTGGTGCTTTGTGGATTTTAAAAATACTCACTCATAAGATATGATATAGTGTAGATACCGGATAAGAAAGAATGAGAGATAGAACTGGAAAATAAGTGGGAGCTTCAAGCTTAATGAAAAAAAGAAAGAGAGAATCATTTTCCAACCATTGGCTTTTCCGATAAGAAAAATCAGGAGTAAAAAATAGAGTGTGCACGTATACTTAGCTTAAATTTCTATTAGAAATGCGGATGGTTTACTAACTCTTCCCTTTTTAAGCATTAACATAGAAGTATTGATATATGGACAAAGATTTTCGAGCTTTAGAAGGCAGATGATATCAACTAGTGTCACGCAAAAAAAAAGAATCTACGGGTAGATACATGAAGAATGTGGGAAAAAAAATGTTATATTAATTAAAGTACACCTGTTGGTATGTGTCCAATAAAACGTGGAAAGTCGTCAGTTCTCACGAGCTTAAAGATGGAAGACAACTTTTCTAAATTGTTTACATGCTAGAAAAAAAGCTCTTAAAATATGCCTTATTGCAGTTTTTCGACTTAACCTTTCCACCAGATGTTCCCATATCGTAACATTTTTCGCTGTGTTTTATAAATAGCCGACCGTCAACTGTAGCTGGCTACAGCATTCTCCTTATCACTGTTAAAAATTAAAACATTTCCGTAGGTCCTTCGACTTAGACCCACTTTGTTGGCGGGATAATGGCCGTGACAAATCAGGCCTGAAATCGGTTGCTTATGTCTGTTGACTCATCTGCTCATCTTTTCGAGAATTTTGCATCTAGTAATGAGCGCATTTTGAAGATGTCGCACTTGTCTAATACAAGCCAACCTGAATACATACATTTTTAACTGAAAAGAACGCTCCCATTTATTGCTGAAGAAACTTTCTCTCAAAAGAAAAATTTAGCTGTTGATCTGAACTCATACAGAGACAGCGGCGTGTTTAATACATAGACGATTTGATGATCGCCCAATGCGACTTTGATGTGTTGTGATTTGGCACATAACAATTTAACTTCAAACCTAATCGTTTCTCGTACATATTTTATCTTACTTGAACATCCTTTTTTTTGTGCAATCCCCGAGGAGTCCCTGCCAACTCCCCATTCACCGTTTGTTTTGCAGATAGGCAATATATAAATATAATGTAGTTCTATGATAAAATTTTAAAAGTTTTCTTTTAGTAAATCAACATTAATGTGTCAACTTTCGATGGGTGATATGTGCTGCAGCGGTACCAGTGATAGTATCTAGCACTTAATTACTAATTAGTTACATAAAATTAAGAAGATGGATTAATAGACCCGCAGGGAGTCCCCAAGGACTCTCTTGAAAATCTCTGAGAACTCCTCATGGACTTCCTTAAGAATCCCATAGAACTCCTGTGGGAGTCTTGAGGAATCCCTCTTGAATCCCTTAAAAATCCTCCATGACTCCACAGAGGATCCTGCCGGGATCCCGTGACAGGACTCCTGCTGACTCCTGTAGGACTTTTTTTCCAGGACTCCTGCGGAAGATTAATCAGGAGTCTCGACTA